AGCAGGAGGGTTGGACTGGGTGACCCACAGAGGTCCCTTCCAACCCCGAACATTCTGTGATTCTGTGAAGTCTCGCGTTTTGTTTCCCTCCGATTTCGGTTTCTTTGGCTACTGGAAATATCTCCCGTGAAATTCATTCTGCTGCTGTGTTTCTGTTTAACACATCCACTGCGTTATGTACCTAAGGATTGTTGATCCAAGAGGTTGTTACGCAGACCCCATCTCTTTCTAGAAGCTGGTGGAGGTGTCAGATGTACCTTGAGAGTGCCCAGATTATGTGGACAGTGTAAAGAGATGGCGTCCTGTTGGCTTCATAGGTTGCCAGAGATGAAGCAGGACAGTTCACCCGTAGTAAGCTCATACGTCTGTGAGGAACCCCGTGGAAATAACTACCACTTTACACAACCTCTGGTCTCCTTAGCTTGGTTAGGAGCAGCGTGCTTTACACTTGTTTCCATTGACTTCACTCGTGCTCTTCCTCTTTCTGCAGGCCAAGGTCAGCAGAGGAACATCACCGATTACTTCAGGATCTCTCAAACACAAGTAGTTGCCGGTGGGATGAAGAACAGAAGAATCAAAGAAGAGCCACTGGATCCTTTCTTCATTGAATCTGATGATTCCTTCAGCAGTGTCTCCACTGCGATGGAGACCAGTGGTGATTCCTGTTTCTTTCTGGAGGATGAGGACCTCGTACCAGCTCCTGGGGAAAGCTCCAGAAAACGGCCTGTGTCTGCTGCAGCGGCAAGGATTCACAAGGCAGAGCACGATTTGTGGGGCGAGCTTGAGGAGAAGCCAGTGGTGGTTCATCCAGAACACAGCCAGATCAAGCAGGAACACAGCCAGATCAAGCAGGAACTCGATGATATGGAAATCGAGCCAGTCCCTGATGTGCATTACGGACTCCTGGGCACTCGGAACTGGGAAGTGCCTCAGGGAAGTATTGACGAGCTGCCCGTTGAAGTCCTTAGGAACATCTTTGCTTTCCTGCCAGTGACTGATCTGTATCAGAACCTGAGCCTGGTGTGTCGCTGCTGGAGGGAAATAGTCAGTGACCCACTGGTAAGGTCTGCTGTGATACTGGTTTGGCCCCATCCCTTCTCCTGCTGCTCTGTTCTGTCTCGGTTTGTTGCTGCATTTATTGCTGTAGGAGCATCCATGCTGTGTCTGTCTCTCTTTGTTCCTTTAAAGCCCTTTATTGTTCCCTAATGCCCACATCCTTTCTTATGAGGTCTTCTGTCAATTTTTGGTCTTCAGGACCGTGGTGGCATCTTCAGATGCCAGCTTTTGTTAGGACATCGATATCGGGGTAGTTTCCCTTGATGCATTCTTCCCACACGTGGACAGAACATCTTGTAAGACTCTGCAAAATTCCCCCTCACTGTTCTCCTTGCAGCCTTTTTTTGCTGACAAGGATCATGCAGGAAATCCTGGCTACCGGACTGGGCAGTGTCCTGTCGTGGCCGGTGTTCGTCGCTGTCCCCCAGCCTTTGTGCGTCTCTGTGTGTGTGTGTAGTCAAACAGGTTTAGAGAAAAGGCCTTTAACTCTGGTTTTATGGAGCCTGGCTCATCTGCAGCCAAGGCTCTCGCGGTACAAGCAGCTGTGAACCCACTGGCAGTTGTTCTGGCCGTGGGGAGGATCTCTGAACCCACTGGCAGTTGTTCTGGCCGCGGGGGGGGTCTCTGAGCCGACTGGCAGTTGTTCTGGCCGCGGGGAGGATCTCTGAACCCACTGGCTGTGGGAAGGAGCTTTGACCCCACTGGCAGTTGTTCTGGCCGCAGGGAGGATCTCTGAACCCACTGGCAGTTGTTCTGGCTGCGGGGAAGATCTCTGCATTTCAGTTAAAGGTGGCTCAGAGACAGCCGGCACCGCTAGACTTGCTCACCACTCATACTGGAAATCCTCAGCTTGTACAAAGAGGCTGTCTCAGAGTGGTGGGGCACTGATTGCAGCCCACATTTTTGTGGAGGTCCAAGTTCTCGTTCATGCCTTTCCAATAGATTTGCATGGGTAAGGCTGGACGCAATGCAGGAGGTGTTTCTCAGCACAACGTGCATGCTTTGAGCCTGAAGAGCTAGAGAGATGCATAGGAAATGCATGTGTTGACTGCTCAGTGGGCTCAGGTCCTCTCCCAAGCCTGCTCTTCACCCTGTAACGCAGCCTAAAAGGCAGCGCCCTGTCTGCTTTTACTGAAGAAGTCCAGACAGCAAGCTGTGGGAGGGTAGGGCTTCATGGACGCGCAGATTTGAAGCACTCAGACCCCGCTCAGAGCAGATCTGTGTGATAGCATTGAAAATATCCTCATTCCTTTAGTGCTTTGTCGTTTGAAACTGAACCAGTATCGCCCTGCTCAGATCATTCTAGAAAAAAACAGCATTTTATAGAGAAGTTTGCAGGCTGTGAGGAACAAGTCTTTCCCTCTTTGCTCTGTTTCCTCTTTCCTCCCCCCTCTCATGCTAGGTACCTGTTTCCGTCAAGCTACAGGGACTTTCTGAACTTCAGGTCTTCTTTGGAAGTCACATTGATTAGCATATTGCCAGAAGAAACCTATTTTCCAGTGCTGTGAGATGAAAGATGGTGGTATGTGCTTCACATTTCTAGTTCATTCCTTGGAAAAAGCTCTACCATCGGTACCTGATGAAGGAGGACATGGCCCTGCGCAAAGTTGAACAGATCTTGCAGGATTTCGCCATAACAAAGGAGCAGGAAGGGTGTGTGTTGGGGCTGATCAGGTGAGTCCATTTCTGCGTTTGACCTTGTACCTGTAGATCCTCAGGCCTTCCTTGCTTTGGATCTTCTTCCATTTTATCTTGTGAATTGCCAGGAGAGAAATGGGTTTGTCTTCTAAACAGGTGGGAGATGTACAGGAAGATGAGGAAGGAGAAATTATTTCAACAGTAGAAATCACTAGTAGGGTTCTAGAAATGAGTAAAAAAGTTTCCCTTTCCTCTTCCTTGTTCTGTCTGGAGCCCATGATGTACAAGTAGAGGATGAAATCTGGGGAAGAGAAGGTGGAAGGGGGATCTAATTGCTGTCTTCCCCTACCTAATGAGGGGCTGTAGAGAGCACGATGCCAACCTCTTCTTGCAGGTGCACAGCGAGAGGACAAGAGGCAATGGGGAAAAGTTGCAGCAAAGGGAAATCCACTTAGATATTAAGAGAGTGGTCAAACGTTGGCCCAGAGAGGTGGGGAATCTCTATCCTTGCAGATGCTCAGGGCTTAGCTGGACAAACAACCAAACTTTGAAGTCATCCCTGCTTGAAACAGGTGCCTTCCGAAGTCCCTTCTGCGGTTTCCATGATTTTGACAGCAAGTGAGAAGTGATGGATAACTGAGGGAGAGGCTGCAAAGCCTGGGGCAGGGATAGCCTTGTGCTGACATCTGAGGAGATGGAGAAGCCCAACACGGACGGGGAAGAGAGGGCAGAACAGTCTTGGTGGTGGCCTTTTGAGTCGGATGGTGTTGCCTCCTGGAGGGCAGGGAGATGGCTGTTGCACCAAGGGTGGAAAGAGATGAGGAAGAGCCTGAGCAAGAGGGTGTACAAGGTCCTGTGCAGCCTGCTGTAGGTGACCCTGCTTCGGCAGGAGGGTTGGACTAGATGACCCACAGAGGGCCCTTCCAAACCCTACTATTCTGTGATTCTGTGATTCTGTGTCAGCAAGCAGCTGCTGGATGTGGAGGCTCAGAGGAAGGCTTTGGAGATGGACCCGTATGTCAGAGCACAGCCAGGCTGGGCACAGCAATTGAGAGAAGCTGCCAGGACCTCCAAGGCAAGGGTTAGATGACAAAATCAAAAAAGGCTGGGCTGTCCTGTCGCTTGCTGCTTTCCGGCACCTGACGACAAGCTTGGGAGAAGATGTTATGTGGTTGCTTCCTGCAGGGTGACTGTGCTGGAGAGAGCGCGACTCAATCTAAGCGTCTCTTTTACCATCCCATTACGTTTCAGCATCTGTCACATCAGCACTGCTTGTCCATCTCTGGATCAGCTGGGGTCTCAGAGTGGCTCAGCAGCTCCTCAGTTTAGCTAAAACACAAATATCTTGTAGAGGGTGTGAGCTCTTCTTCCTAGTCCCTCCCATCTCCAATGTATTTTCTTCACTTGGATCAGCAATGGGGTGGGCAGCAGGAGCAGGGCAGGGATCGGGCCCCTGTGCTCGGCACTGGTGAGGCCGCACCTCGAGAGCTCCGCTCAGCTTTGGGCCCCTCGCTCCAAGCAGGACATGGAGGGGCTGGAGCATGTCCAGAGAAGGGATGGCCTCGAGCTGCGTCAGGGGAGGTTCAGGTTGGATATTGGGAAGAATTTCTTTCCTGAGGAAGTGGTCAGGGGTTGGCCCAGGCTGCCCAGGGCAGTGGGGGAGTCCCCATCCCTGGAGGGGTTAAAAAACCATGCAGATGTGGCACCTGGGGACATGGTTTAGCAGGCATGGTGGGGTTGGGGTGACGGTTGGACTTGGTGATCTTTTCCAACCTTAATGATTCTATGATTCCTTTCCTGAAAGGCTGCTTTGCTGAACCCGCACTGACTTATCAGTCACAGCTCAGCAGCAAGCCCAAGCCTGAAACGGGTCCCTGATAAAAGCAAGTGCTCTGTTCAGATATCTGTAGTCTAGCGGGCAATTTTATATGGCAGTTAAATGGTGCAAATAGAAGAGTCAACTTGGGTTAAGAGCAAAGTAGATCCGTCTTCTGGAAGGAGACATCAGTACAGCCAGAATGAATTTGCAGGCTAAGGGCTTGGTGCAGCAAAGTATTTCAGCGCACATCTGTGTAACAGAACTGGGAATTACTTGTCTGAACGGCTCTAAGCACAAGAACGAGTTGGAAATCCAAGTTCAATGCATTCACAGAATCACAGAATGGCAGGGTTTGGAAGGGACCTCTATGAGTCACCCAGTCCAACCCCCCTGCCGAAGCAGGGTCACCCAGAGCAGGCTGCACAGGACCTTGTCCAGGCGGGTCTGGAATATCTCCAGAGAAGGAGACTCCACAGCCCCTCTGGGCAGCCTGGTCCAGGGCTCCGTCACCCTCAGAGGGAAGAAGTTCTTCCTCATCTTCAGCTGGAAC